AGTGGTAAGGGATCTGGTGTTTCTGAAAAATGGAGCCTAATGGGAGCATGTATAAGGAGAATAAGACCGGGCCCAGAATAGAGCCCTGAGGTATTCCACAGGTTAGTGTAGCTGGGGAAGAGTATTTGTTACCCAGCATCACAGAATATGTTCTGCTCTCCAGGTAAGAGGCAAACCATTTTAGAGCAGAACCTTGAATGCCGACATATGTCTTTAGACGGTTCAATAGGATTGTGTGGTCGACAGTGTCAAATGCTGCGCTCAGGTCTAAAAGGATTAAAACTGTACTTTTTCCAGAATCAGCAGCTAGAAGCACATCATTGAGCACCTTCAGTAGAGCAGACTCTGTGCTGTGGAAGGCCCTGAAACCAGACTGATATTTGTCCAGAATATTATGCGTGTCTAAGAATGAGGATAATTGGTGGAGGACAATCTTCTCAAGAGCCTTAGACAAAAATGGCAGCTTAGAGATTGGTCTAAAATTGCCAAAAACTGACGGATCTAAACCAGGTTTTTTTAGAAGCGGCTGGACAACAGCTTGTTTATATGGCTGCCAATTCACATTTCTGGAATCATTTTTATTAACTATTTTCTGAATTTCAGCGATGATATGACACAAGCAAAAATTATTTACTCCAGTTCGCTTTCCAAAAGTATGAAAGAGCACATTTGCAGTCTCTTCTTTTTTAAGTTTATGCTCATTGGTTGAATATGTGAATGAAAATATGGTGAGTGCTGTTAAAAAGGAAAAAAGCCCACATTACTGATAAAACAGCAGCTCTGAGCCCCAACCTACTATTTTGAAGATAAGCAAAAAGTTATTTGTGATATCATCACCGATGACTTAGACCTCAGAAGGTTAAGAGTGTTTGAAACTCTTAATTAAATAGTCATGTTAACTTTCCTTCCATCACTTCTTTCTTAACATCTCAAAAAATGGAAAACACCACTTATTCTTTTCATAAACTGAAGTCCTGTCTTTTTTAGACGCCATCAGAAGTACACGTCATGTACAGACAACCATGGCATTCGGCCTCCTCCACCAGAGCAGTACCTCACACCCCTTCAGCAGAAGGAGGTGTGTATCCGACACCTGCGGGCCAAGCTAAAAGAAACCATCAACACCCTGCAAGACAGGTGAGATACTGAGACAGGATGAGAGACTGGCAGGTCCTATAAAGCAAGGTTTTATGCTAGTTCTTCTTAGATCTTTTATATTGGTCTGTGCTTCTTATTGTCAAAGGTTCTAACCCTTTCTCTGTTGTCACCCTCTTAGGGACACGGAAATAGATGAGTTGAGAGGCCGGCTTTACAGAATGCAGGAGGACTGGGTTGAAGAAGAGTGCCACCGCGTAGAGGCTCAGCTGGCCCTGAAGGAGGCGCGTCAGGAAATCCAGCAGCTCAAACAGGCTGTGGATACTGTTCGTGCCAGACTGAGCGATGCCGGAGGCCTCAGTGGAGATGTAGGGGTCCAGAAGTACTTTCAGGATATCAACGCTCAGAACCACAAGCTGGAGAACCTTTTGCTGAGTATGGAGTTGGCCCAGGCTGGATTAGCAAAGGAGGCAGAGGCTATGCCAGGCTGTCGGACCCGCGTTGGGGGTTCAGCACCAGCATCTGTTTCAGGAGAAAGTCCTGGCGGAGTACCCAAACTTACTGTAGGAGGAAGAGGGTCTTGCTCTTGTGATGGCTCCCCAGCCCGGTCTTTAACTCGGAGTTCCACCTACACAAAGCTGAGTGATCAGGCACTGGCGGACCGCAATGACAACGGGTCAGACTTTCCTTGTCTCTCAGGCGACGGCACCCAGGACAGCGGCTTTGTGTGCTGTGGGGAGAGTAACATCCCCAGCCGGGCTGACCTTCTGCTGGAGGCCGCATTCCTTTCTGAGGAAACAGCATCTTTACTTAATTCCTACACGCAGACCTTCTCCCACTCTCTTCCCCATTCTCATCCCCACTCTCTGCCAAACTCACTGTCTCACACCTACTCACATACCTTACCTCATTCTTTCCCTCACAATTTGTCCCACTCTGTGCCGCATACTATGCCACACTCTTCTACGTATGAGAAGCTGTGCACAGGGGAGGGGCTGGCACCCTTTCGTTGTGGTCTGGGTGGAGTGAGCTGCATGAGCCACCCCTGCCTCTCCCACCACCATCTGTACCTGCACCCTTTAAGGGAGACTGGCATTCAGACAGAAAGCTGCCCCATCCCTACAACAGCAGGGTATCCCTCCGATCTGGACACCATCGCAGAGCAACGTACCTTCCGGTCCCAGGCCTGTAGCCCCACTTCAACCTGGATGTCTGATGAAGGGGACGACGAGTTGGACTCCATTACCACCACAACTTCAGTAACCACAGCAACAGTCATGAGTACAGCAACAGAGCCAATCCCCAAAACCCCAGTGGTCCCATCTTTACCACGGTCCGCCACTGTTGCGTGTTCCATGGAAAGTCCTGTGCATAAAGAGAAAGAGCATGGAGAGGAGGAGGAAAAGCAGGAGAAAGAGGAAAAAGAGAAGGAAGATTTTGTGGCAGAAGAGCAGGTGGAGATAGTTATGATCAAACTGGCAGAAGAAAGGCAACAGACGCTGATTGGTTCAGTGGGAGAGAAGATAGGAGGGCAGGGTGCTGAAGAGAAGCCGGCTCAAGGAAAACTCTGTGATCTTGCTGAGATGCCAGCAACATGGCAGGGTGAGCTTAAGTTAAGAGGATGCTGTGGAGAAGGCAGGCAGGGTGGGACATCATTTGAAAACCTCGGAGTTGTGGACACGCAGCAAGAAAGCTGTCCTTTACAAGAATCAACCCAGGTAGAGACACCTCACCTGAGTCCGAGTCACCAGGGATCGTCTCCAGCTATAGAACTGCCTCACACAATCCAGCCAAGAAGGTCTACTTCCCATGAGGAGATAGGTGGTGTTACAGTGGTGGAGGTGCACAATGAGGACAATGATAACGGTGAAACAAAAGAGCACGGTGCCACAGGGGACACTGCAGATGAGAACGGAGAATCATCTAGTTCTGGGACGATTCAGAAAAGCTACTGGAGTCGTCACTTCCTAGTTGATCTGCTTGCGGTGGCCATTCCTGTGGTGCCGACGGTGGCGTGGCTCTGCCGCGGTCCAGTCCGGGAAGGACAGCCAATGTATCACATAGGATCACTGCTGAGAGGCTGTTGCACTGTGGCGTTGCACTCGCTGCGCAGGGGAGGCGGGCTGAGGCACTACCCCGCAGGCGGGGGAGACTTAGGGGGATCACAGATATAAGAGGAAAATCTGCTCAGCACCTCTGTGGCCCTTAACCACGACCTTTCCTGTATAGGTTTTCTCTTGGAAGATTCAAGTGCAAGAAGACGAGGACTTCCTGTCCTGCAGTTTCTGCCAAGAATAGGCAAGAGGGGTATAAGAAACAGGAAATGTGAAGCTCTTGGACTGGCAAGCTCTGCCTTGTTTTGGTTCTGCTCCGCAATGTCTGTCACCCAATGTTCCTCAGCCTTGCTACCGAGATGTCTGCCAGCTCTACTGGCTTGTGCAAAAGTAAATGAGCTGATTGAAATGAATGATGCCTGGATCTTTGATGCTGATTGTTTCTTTTGATCTTAAATGCAGGGAAAACTGTAAAAGATTCATTGACTACTCAACCTATGAATTCTAACACATTTGAATGGTTGTGTGTGTATATGTGGCATATATGTATAAGAGCTTGTATACATGTGTAGCCAAGTTACAAAAAGCTACAGCTTCACCAAGTCATTAAGCAATGGCTGAGGGGAAAATCCACTCTAAATCAGAATTTACATGTTTCTACAACTGCAGACGGTCTTCATTGATCTTCAAGACTGAAATCTCAGAGTGTGTCTGCCATCATGACGTAGACACAAAACTCAGGGATGTTCCGAGGGTAGAAACACACAAACCTATTAAATTTGCTTCAAATCATAAACACCCAGCTGTGGCCAGTTCAGTTGTGCTGCCAAGTTAAACTCTACTTACTTTTAATCGTATTAAGGTTTTAGTTCTCTCTCCTGGCCAAAGAAGCGTTTTGGTTGAACTCACCCCCCCCAAAGGAATGTTGTTTATCATTAAAATGACCTCTGCCAAAAATCCTATGTAGATGTTTATTAATCAAACACAGTAGGTTAATCTGAGGTGTGTATACATCAACTGCATAGAAGCTGATTTCTAATTTTATTTCATGCATTTCATGCATTTAGCAGTTTGGGGCATCTAAAAACAAAAACCATGATGCCATCACACTTAGGATGAGACTGTTTTTAAGATAAGATAAGATAGATCTTTATTGTCACTGTTACAAAAACAATGAAAGACAGTTTGGCATCTCTCCATTAGCAGCATGTAGATTTTTTTATATTAAAATTACTTTATAATAAAAGATAAGAGACAAATTCCCCACCTGTGGGACTAACAAAGGTTATCTTATCTAATCTTATACACAGATACATGCAGATGCCAGAGTCTTTTCAAGCTTTTCAGAAATGTGTAAATGTAGCATTTCCACTAAAAGCTTTTTTTTTCCTGGAAATGATTGATTTAGGCCATAAAATTGCATATGTCGCCAATCATTCTCATCTACTTATAATATGCATAACCATCACTTGAAACAAAAAACAGGCTTTTTCCTTGTTGAATGAAGTCTTCATGTTGCGCCTTTTGTAGGCAGTTATTTAATCTAACCTGCCAATTAACCTGATAAAAGCAATTACCTTGTTTGATTTCTGCAATTTTTTTCTAAAGACTGCTTAAAAATTTCCCTCTACTCGACGTTGACGTTAGAATGTGCACTTTAATTTCTCTTAACCTCTGCATCCCCAGGGGGCCAGCCAGAATCTCATTAATAATGAAGGAGATGTTACTTATTATAGAAAGTCCATGGGTGATTTACCTATTGCCATGTTCGTTGTGTTTCTACCCTGAGAGCATTACGATTAGTTCTCATAAATAAATAAAGCTATTCAGATTTATTAAACTCAAACTAAGAGAAATACCACACTTATAACTATACACTAAAAATGAAGCTCAGTTGAGAGCCAGCCTGAGTCTTTGCAAAGGTAAACTCAAAAGTTAAAAAGCAAAGTTCTCTAAATAAAATCTTAGATTTGTTTCTGTAATCCATTTGAGAGCTTTTGTTTTTTTTGTTTTCATTTTATGTATCTATTTATTTATTGGGGCAGTCTACTTGTTTGGGAAGGTAATAATAATAACATGCACATTATATTTTAGGGTGGAATATTTTTCATACTCAGTCATATTGTCTCATATGGGCCTTATCTGCTTAAGCTTGTATTCAAAGCAAAGTTGCCAGAACCAATTCATTTGGTGAAAATAACAGACCTCAGTTTGTGTTACTTCAGTTTAAGTTTGTGTTACTTAAAGTCACCTGATTAAATCTAATTGAAATGCCATATCACGATCAAACACTTTGTTTATAGATCCTCACCGGCTCACTTTGGTATCTTAGTGTAGCTCTGAATGGAATGAGTTGTGCTCAGTCTGTGATCTGTGCTGTATATTTCTGCTAAACTTAATGCTCTTGTGGTGTAGTTTTAACTGTCACTCTGGTAGTATGTATTCCAAGTCAACTGTACAAGAGCTAGTCAGTCACTGCTAATAACTCTGCTTAATTTGTCCAACAGATCATTCTGAAAGGCATTTACAGACATCGTGTGCTACATCTCAGTCGACAGTTCAGATGTACATTAATAAGATGTCTGGGTTTTAAACGCACTTAGCATCAGGGTATTTTTTTATTTGTCTGAATGTGTGCATCACGAGAGGACTGTGATGAAAGATGAATGTGTAAATGAGCAAATAAGCAAATCATGGCTGGATAACTGAATGGGCCTGCTGGGCACAGATCTAACTGCTAAGACTGCTAGAACAAAACAAAAGGCTTCCAAGAAGTTGGAATAGGATCTGAAAGCTCACTAAAGAGCAATATGGCTGCAAGAGGGTGGAAAACAATTGCCAGTAGATAACAGACAAAAATGCTATGTAACGGACTAATTCTTACATAACACTTCTCTACTCTCCCAGAGTACTCAAGGCACTCCATACAACATGCCAGATTCACCCAAGCACTGTCTTCTATGTTTTTAAGTGTTTTCTAACCACCATTCACACACATTGATGCTGAGATGGGAGAGCAACTTGGGGTTATTATCTTGCCCAAGAATATTTGGTATGTAGACTAAAGAGAGCCAGGGATTGAACCACCAGCCTTTACAATCAGTAGATGACCTGCTCTACCTCCTGACCTACAGCCACCCATCAGTCATATGTCAATATGAATGATGACAGAGTTTAAAACTACTCCAAAAAGAAACCAAGCAACTACAAAAATGACACAAAACAACTGCAAGAAACATAAAACCAATGCAAGAGATGTCTAATGACTACAAAAAGATTCAAAATGACTTCAGAGAGACCTAATGTGACTACAAAGTCATGTACAAGGAAATAAAACATAAAGAACCCTACAAAGAGACAGAAAATGACAACAAATACTAAGGTCTGCAAGACAGCTGGATAAAAAAAAAAAAACAGAAAGCAACTACAAAGAAAGAGAAAGTCGCTGCAGTGATATAAAATGACCTCAAAGATGTATAAAACAAACAATTGTAGAGGTGCCTAAACTGTACAGAGATTAAAATGACTTCAAAGGGATTTCCCAAATGACTTTGAAGCAACAAAAACATGCAGAGAGAACACAACTGTAGAGATGTCTAATACTTAAAAGAGATGCAAAATCACTTCCAAGAGATTTGAAGTGACTACAAAAATATGAAAAAATGACTTCAAAGAGAGCTTAAGTACATACAAATAGATGTGAAATTATATATAAATGACTACAAAAAGATGTAAAAGGGCTGCAGGAAGAAGAAAAACAACTGCACAGACATAAAACCACAAAATGACACGGAGACACAACCACAAAGATGCTTAAAACAACTGCATACAACTACAAAGACACGCCAAAGAACTTCAAATACATGTGGAACAACCATAAAGAGAACCACAGTGACCAATAAAAGAAAAATCAACCACAGAGGGAAATCAAAGCGGCACAAAATCACCAATCACAAGTGCAGGGGTCAGCAACCTTTAACACCCAAAGAGCCATTTGGACCCGGTTTCCACACAAAAGAAAACTCTGGGAGCCGCAAATACTTTTTGACATCTAAAATGAAGATAACATTGTGTATATATTGTTTTTTACTTTTATGCTTTGTGTGAACAACTAAGGTGTGTTGCTTATGAAATCCATGAAGTGCTACAGAGAAAATGACATTTTATTTATGTATTTGAAGTCATTTTGAAGAAATATAACAAAAAGAAAGACACCCAGCTGAACTAAAATGATCCATGTAGCAAACAAAAACTGTTGTGAGCCGCCACCCTTATATCGCCTTTGGACTTTTGGAGCCTTGGCCTGGCTTTTAAAAAAAAAAATTGGAAAAAAAGCACTATGCTGCTAAAAACAGAAAAATAGATATTTGCAAAATTCTGCCTAAATATGTATTTTACCTGGTTAACGTGTGTGGCGGGGCGTGGTCTGCAGTGCCGCTGCAGGGGACGCGGACGCACGTGAGCGGCATCCGCAATCACGCCTCGCCACCTTAACGTCTGTGCTATCTGTGCTGTTGTGTTAGTATGTGTCGGGCTGTGAGCTGAAAAGCTACAGCCAGCTGTATGCGTACAGCAAACGTGTGTGAAAAGTGGTCTATAAAGAGATGCTGAAAAGCATGTTCATGCGAACATTGTCGGGTCTGCCGTGGTATGCTTATAATGGCACTTCTGCTCCTGAACCTCTGCACACAGCGTCTGCAAATCGGGGCTGTACGAAGTCACTTTCATCTTTATGCAGGACTGTAAGCTGTCATCTGTGAGGCGTGAGCGGTGTTTGTTTTTAACATAGTTCACGGTGGAGAATAGTTGCCGACATAATGTGGATCCGAAGATCCATAATTGGTCTATGGGTTGAAAGTCTCGATAAATGCACGGCGTTTCGGCGGGTATACCGGCTTCTGCGAGTGTGACGCTTATTTTGAGCAATGAAAAAATAATAGAATATAATTTTATTTTTATATTTCAATATCACAATAATCTTCCAATTTAGAACTACAAGTTAAAAACGAACTAACATAAATAAAATACACTTCAGCTAAATACTTTATTTTCCCAAACCGCACTATAAGGACTAAAGAGCCGCAGGTTGCCGACCCCTGTGTTAGTGGAATGTAAAGTTACAAGCAGGTGCAAAACTACCATAAAGTGACACAAAACAATCATACAAAGTATCTACAAAATGTTTTGGTCTTCTGTGTAAACTCCTGTGCCCAGGGGGCGTGTTTGAACAATCCCTCCATGAAATAACTCTAAATCTGTCCGTCCCGATTTAAATGTCGAATGAAAAATGTTCCAACACAACCAGCAAAAAAACAGCAACTCAAATTGTTCTGCGTTAAAAAAAAGACTTTTATTCTTTTTTCTATTCTATTCTTTTCACCAGTTGGTTTATATGTTTTGCACTATTGTTCACTTTATGAATTTTAAGCAATTACTTGAAGTTGAGATTGTAACTTAGCACTGACAAGTTTGAGGTTAGCCCGAAAATTTCATGCTCTTCATAAAAAGTCATAACTTTTTCAACATAAGTTGAAAGTGAAAAGATGAGTGGGCATCTGTTTCTCTAATGACAGATTCTGATGTACTGGTCCTCTTACCTTCAACTCTACTTTTTATTCTGGTTACAGAACTAAGCATTGTGTTGATGAGATAGCAATTGAAGTTGAACTCGGACTGGCAATACTTTCATGTAATAGTAACTCGGTTATGATTATTGAACAATTTATTGTCATTTAGAATATTTCTGGTAAATCTTATATGATTTTAAATTCCAACAAATGTGTGTTTCTTTAAGAAAGAAAGAAAGACGCAATTTTCAACCCAAATTTTTCAGCTGCACTGTGTGTGTGAGCTCACTGAGCATTTTCTGATTGTTCTGTTCTGCAGTGACAGTTTAAAGTGCAGCTGAAGCAAAATTTGGCGTAAATAAGATACTACAGACATGCAGGTATGGCTTGTTCCTGTGAATGCTGTAAAGCAGTAATCTCTCATCTTTAATAAGAACTGTTTATTTTAGCCCTTCACATTTACATACATCTATGTATTAATATACATAGATGCCATAAAATTTCTAAAAACCTCTCATTTCAAAAACATAAATTTTTTTCTCATACTGTGTGATCCGATTATGTAATTGTCAGATGTCAGTGACAATCATGATAATCGGAATTAATGCATTGCTATCCATGAAAAGATTGAATGAATGCCTTACGGACACAATCACAAGGTTTTCTCAGCATCGTTTGCATTGTTATGATTTGTGCAAGAGCTGTGCGCCCATCATCCAGCTGCATTGTGGGAAAGGTTTGGCTAAAGATAATGAAGAGGCTAAAACAATTCCCTGTTTTACCAAAAGCCATAAATCTGTGAGGGAACTGGTGTGACAATGTGGAAAGCCACCTCCTCCTATCAATATTAATGTATTATGTACCAAAATGTCTAATATAATAATCATGTAAGTGATTATGATGTAAACCTGCACTGTACTTTGATGTGACAGTCCCGCTGTTAATTGCAGCTGATTTTTGGAAACAGGATGACAGAAGGACCAAAGGGTACATCTACCAAGCAGCAAATGAAAGGTGGCTGGTTTGATTCCAGGCAAACACAAATGTACTTTGCGTCAGAAAGGTCATCTGGTGTAAAATATCTGGTGCCATATCAAACATGTGGAACTACCTGCTGTGGTGACCCCTTGTAACAAAGGAGCACTCAAAAGTAGCTCTTTAGCAAACAGCTAATTGGTAATGGTAGTAGCAACCATCTCAGCCATCTTTGTTTAGCACCATTAGGTGGGCACATGTTTATTCTCAAGGCTCCTGTTCCTGAAATGTTTAATTGAAATACACATGCTAGATAATGAAGATTTGGCAAGCTGCTTTGATAATAACTTTTAGTCTCACATGCACAATTTGAATTAGATGTGGATATTTGATCTTCTTGTTTAATTACTTTAAAATCTAAAAAACATGGAATGCAAGGTACCATTCTTGAGCATGATAAAATGTATTTTGTGCATTCGTCTTCTTTTTTTTGCAGCTATAGTAATATCTTCCAATGGTCACTTTTTAAAGATTATTTTGGGACTTTGTAGATTCCGTATTAGCAGCTTTAAGTCTATTGCATTAAAATATTCCTGTGGTGTATTTTTACCATGTGGAACTTTAAAGCCAAGGAGAATGCCTCCGCTGGTACTACAGGTGTGCTGAAAAATGTAGCTGTACCCGACTGTCCCAAGATACACCTGAACTTCCTGTTGTAGTGTGCTGTTATGTCAGT